GTCTGTTTGAGTTCCTACGAATGCCATTTGGATTACGGAATGCTGCTCAAACTTTCCAAAGGTTTATCGATAGCATAGTACGAGACTTGGATTTTGTTCACGTCTATATTGATGACCTGCTGATCGCATCATCAAACGTAGATGAACATTATCGACACCTTACGCTATTATTCCAACGTCTTTCGAATAATGGAATGGTAGTCAACCCAGAGAAATGTGAATTGGGTAAATCAGAAATAATATTTCTGGGTCACGTCATCAGACAAGAGGGTATTCTGCCTTGCGAGGACAAAGTTCGAGCAATCAAGGAGTACAACGTGCCGTCCTCAATCAAGGAACTGAAGGCTTTTCTCGGTTTGGTCAACTTCTACCGACGTTTCATCTTTCATGCGGCAGAACGGTTACGACCATTAACCGATTTACTACGCGGTAATCCACGCAAATTGAACGATACCGCACGTACTGCATTCTCAGAGATCAAAACGGCTCTCGCTGAAGTTACACTCCTCGCTCATCCTGACCCATCAGCCACGCTTAGTATAGCGGTTGATGCATCAGATTTCGCTATAGGAGCCGTTATGCAACAGAATATCTCCGGTAGTTGGCAACCGCTTGAATTTTACTCACGACGCCTTACTCCCACGGAGACGAGATATAGCTCTTTTGGTCGCGAACTGCTTGCAGCCTACTGTGCCATCAAACATTTCCGGCACGCAGTAGAAGGACGCCAATTCATCTTATTCACCGACCATAAACTCTTAATGTATGCCCTGCATACCAAGTCTGACCGCTACTCACCACGAGAGTGCAGACTTTTGGACTATATCTCCCAGTTCACGGCAGATCTTCGTCACATTGAAGGCGAGTCGAACTATGTTGCCGATGCTCTTTCACGTATCCAGACGAATGCAGTTACCTTACCGGTGCTCGATCTTCCTGCAATGGCCGCCGCACAAGCAAACGATCCTGTCTGTACAGAAGCACCACAATCTTCGTCCCTTCAGTGTCAGGAAGTACCCCTAGCTATTAGCTCAGGTACTATCCTATGTGATACTTCTACCGGTCTTCCTCGACCCATCGTACCCTCTACCTATCGCCGTCTCGTCTTCGATGCCCTTCATGGATTGTCTCATCCAGGTCTTGCAGCCACATTACGTCTCATCGCTGCACGACACGTCTGGCCGTACATGAATAAAGATGTTCGTATGTGGGTAAAGCAATGCTTACAGTGTCAACGGTCAAAAGTACACAGGCACGTAGCTGCCCCCATTGGCACGTTCGCTACGCCTGATGCTCGCTTCGATCACGTTCATATAGACATCGTAGGACCATTGCCACCATCGCATGGGTATGATCACATACTCACGTGCATTGACCGTTTTACAAGATGGCCCGAAGCTATTCCCATCACGTCTATTACGGCGGAGACAGTTGCTCACCGCTTCGTAGAACGATGGATAGCATTGTACGGTTGTCCCTCGACTGTCACGACTGACCGAGGACAACAATTTGAGTCCGCATTATTCTCCTCACTGACCCGGCTGCTTGGTACGGAACGCATACGCACTACCGCCCACCATCCAGCATCGAATGGTTTAGTTGAAAGGTTTCATCGCCAACTTAAAGGTGCTCTTCGAGCACACGAAAACGACAATTGGTACGAAACCTTACCGCTCGTTCTCTTAAGTATCAGAACGAGTTTGAAGGCAGATATCCAATGTTCAGCCGCTGAACTTGTATACGGCACGACATTGCGTCTGCCTGGGGAATTCTTTACTCCACGGCGCAGTAATGATTTCGGTGAATCAGACTACGTCCATCGACTCTCTGCATTTATGCGAACGCCGTCTCCGGTGTCAACTCGAATACAACATCGACAGGTCGCTCTCCCTTGAGAGTTATCTACCTGTTCACATGTTTTCATACGGGTAGATTCGGTACGCAAGCCTATTCCTGGATTCGCAACCTTTATGACAACGGGCTAGCTTTTATTATTGTGCTAGGTGTCCCACAAGACAAAGATCCTGAATACGCGGACCCGAATGTTTTGAAGTGGAACTTCATAAAGCAGTCTTTGAATCTCAGGGACAGTAACTCAATAAGTGGTGCGAATAACCATTCAGGATGGGGATTCTATGTCTCGAGTAATGAAGATAACCTTCCCATCCTCTCACACAGTGTCCATCACTCATCAGGTATTTTGCGTCGACAGACGTCGACTGCATATGTATCCAAACAGGCAACATGATGCAAGGATCAAGCACAAAAACAGGTCGGAGCTGACTATTTCACTTGTGGATTGTCAAGGTCATGGAAAAGGTAGAAAAATGCAGGATATACCAACTCGGAAAACGCTGTGTAGGTAGGTTAATTATACATCCACATACGGCTCGTTTGGATAATCTGGACGAGGAAGCCCACGCGTTTCGAATTAAAAGCATAAACTGTCTATATATGAACACGTGAGCTAACCGAATAAAATAGAGTAGCGTGAACTAAGTAATGCTAACAATGCTCATGTGACAGGAATATCCGAAACATAAATATCTTCACAAATTTCGGAACAGCGGCTAGTAATACATGGGGTGTATTATTACTATCTAAATAATAGTAGTACAGTCTTTGTTTCTCAAAGACAGGAAAACAGAAATAAGGTGTTGAATAGCCATGTGTCTGTGATCTCGCTTGATAGCACATCAAGCGTACATACAAGAATTTGTCTATCTTGATGAATCTGTGCGGTGTTCAGTAAGATTGTCTAACACCTCGTTGTCCCCAGTTGGTAACATCTATAGGAAGCCCACTGCTGACACCGAGTTTGACAATTGTATACTTGAAGGATTATCCCGCTCTTCTCGACTTGGATACACTCAAGTCCTGATTCTACGAGCCTTTAGTTTCCCTAAAGTCAACTTCGCTGGACGTACGTATATTGGAGGTGAAAACTGCACTGAATCTCGGTTCTTCAAAAATGTCAAGTCAGCAACTCGTCGGAGAAATAGCTAAACGCCGTCATGCTTAGAATAAGTATATACAAAAGAAGAATTCCTAATTGGCAACTTCTCGCCCTTAGGTCTTCTGGGTAAAAGTGGTCATTCAGTCATATTCTTCAATTTTATTAACAAAACTGAACTAAGACATCCTACCAACAATAAGCACTGGAATTTCAGATGGTTGGGTGTGTCATCTTCATAGGGCAATCTACAGCAGGTTGACTGGGATGTACATCATCAGCTTGATGTGGACGCTCATTAAGATATTTTACTGCACGTGATCCTATGTGCTTCAAAGCACTGTGTCCCGAAAGCAGTTGTCAAATATCAAGAGCAACCTACAGTCATGAAGAATGGCACCCTTCATTTGCCAAGAGTCGAAGGCACTTCTGGGCGGAATATAAACGAGCTGGTAACAACGACGCATACAGGTAATGAAAGCAAGTAATAAATCAATTCACAGAGGCAATAAGAGAAGATTGATTTCAATACCAGATAAAGCTTATCGACAAATCTGTCTCCAGTCCAAGAAGCTTATTCTGTCATGCAGCCTCTCTTCGATATCCGAAACCAGAGTTCCTCAACTTTGCATAACCAACTTGCTGACCGCGGTGGACAGATGGATAACCATCCTTGATCGAGAAGGGAGTGTTGACGTCACATGCCTCCACTTCTCGGAAGTTTTGATAGAGCCAATTATATATGTCTTGGCAACAAACTGAAACGATTAGGTATGAAGTCGCCATTGATTGATTGGCTCACTTCATATCTAAAAAAATCTACATTTTAAGGTCAGGGTTAACTTCAGTTTCTCTCAGGCCATGGTATGTTCTAGTGAGGTTCACCAGGGTTCAATACTAGGATCTCTTCCTTTCTTCACTTATATAGACGATTTTCCACAACAGGTATCGTCAGACTTATTACTTTTCGCTGATGAGGTGAAACTCTGGAGAGACGTTTGCATCTGAGAGGATAATCTGGAACTTCAGGTGGATCTGAATTGGTTTCAAAGTTGTTCAGACAACGGCGGACTTATCTTTAACATTTCAGAGTGTAAACTAGTCCATCTAGGACATGTCGCATACTATGAATACAACCTCAGTAATTCCGTTGTAGAGGTGTTTCAAGTTAAGAAAGATCTAGGAGTGTTGGTACCCTACGGTCTAAAGTCTTACGACAGTTGCGACAGAAATGCCTTTAGAACAAACTCTGCACTGGCAACGTTGAAGCGCATTTTCGGCCAGTTTTATACGGGAACTTTCCACATAATCTTCAATAATTTTGTTCGACCCGACTTAGAGTGTAAAAACACGATGGTTTCTGCCTCACTCCGAAGGAATAAGGATACATTGGAACGTATCCGAAGATGAGTCACAAAATCAGTTGTGAACTCAAATTCAAACTTTGTGAAGAACCCTTAATATCTCTGGATCTTCATTCATTAAAGTGTAAGCGTATCTGAGGTGACCCTACAACGACTCACAGAATCCTAACCACTTCTAAAAATTCTAAAAACACTTACTTAAGCCCAGTCTCAAGATAAAACTTGACGGTAAAAACCAGAAAACAGCGACTTGATACAGTAGATAGGACAGTGGACGCACCTTCTGCTCCTTAGGAGTAGCCAAATAAAGGAGTTTGCTGCCAGGTTATCTAGTTCGAGTGACTTTCCAGAGGTCCTTCGAGAGAAAACGTGACATATACTTGAAGATCAAGGACAGTATCTACAAATCACAGCTTTCTCTTTTACCGTTAAATATATTTATGTTCTCACTTGGAGGCATCATTGATCCGTTCAGAAACATTTGAGACCATTTAAAAACTTTCTCATAGAATGGCAAACGAATGAAATTTATTACCTCGAAACGTGATTGAAGCTCTAAAACTGTCTCTCAGCACATTAAGAAGACGTTAGACCAATCGAGAAACAGTCACTGTTACGACCAACACAAGAAATTTGGGCTGTTGTATTTCAAAAACCGTCAATGTGTTGACCTAGCTAAATAACCTCGTGGGGCGCGCCTTATAAGTTTACTCGTGGCGTTTCGCTATATTCTTCGAGTCTTTAACTACAACCAGAAATATATTTAAATTCTTCGTGTTTACAGTCCATATGTTCAAATACTTTATTAATTTCAAGGTTTAGTCAAAGCTTGGAAGAATTAATATTTTTTTTAATTTTGGAGACGATCCAAATATTTCGGATTCGAGAAATTACTTTTTTAAACCGGCTAATTAGGTGACTTTCTTCACTCAATACCAACTGTATACACTTTGACCACTCTTTTTTCTAATCTAAGGGTATATGGCGTAATGTTTTGCTGATTACTGGTACAAGTAGTGCATTATAATTGTCCATTAAGGTTATTAAAAACAAGTACCTGAATGATCCCGACATTTTGTCATTTTGCAGAGTATTAGGCTGATTTAACACGTTTAGAGGTTGGCTGAATGTATCTTAATACCTTCAAATATTTTTAAAAGAGCAGTTATCTGCATACTTATGCTCTCTTCTCGAGTTGTCAAAATGGTTTCGCCTGATTTTCTACTAGTTACACGAATTGTATTTCGTAAGATGAGGTAAAAAAAAAAGTGTTAGTCATAAAGAATATTAAGCTGTTATAGGGACAAGGTGCGTTTCACTATACCATTAACATGATTAAACTTATGAAAAAAACCTTGAGTACTGACCGTGGTGTGGCCTCCCAACGAAACCACTTGTTTTGTTTTGGATGCCCTGACAGTATTCCGGTCCTCACACAAATTGAGTGACATGTGTAGCGCATATATATAAGTGAGATCTTGTACCAATGTTTGTGTTTGTAAATAATAAATTGTATTGAGGTATCTGTTGTAAACATATGTTGACGTTTTTCAGCCAAGTGATGTGGCTGTAGTCTTTTATTAATATATATATGAAAAGGTTATACATGGCTCTGGGTATTTGATATTGCGGGATTTTATTTGAATTGTAAGGATTCTTTTTCTAATCTGGCAAGTGCACGTTTGAGGATCAAACTCCTAACCAGTTAACATCTTGCGAGTTGTTGGCTTGTTAATTGGCTTTGTTGGTTTCTGAATGTTCAGTCCACTTTTTCACTTTCTCATTAAATTCACAATGTGAAATAATTTTTATTATTAATTTTGAAACTTATGTGTACTAAACTTAATCAAGCTCTTTAAAGATGTTTTTGGTATTCGCAATCGCGTACGCTGAACAAAAACTGGCGTAAACACTTATCAAATTTATTTTACTGCACATTCATTTTTTTGGATGCGTTAAAATACATTTAATACGTGGGATATACTTCAGTAGTACACATTCTGCTGTCTTAGTGAGTACACTCATCTACCTCCTTTTCCAATATAGTTAATCAAGGCGAAACAAATAAGCGTAACAACTTGCATTTACTCAAGATAGTACATTTCAAGACAGTGCAAAACAAAAACATATGTATTAGATGTAAAATAAAAACTAAATGGTCAGCAGTAAGCTGTCGAATGTTAAGGAAATATAATTAACTTCTGTCTGTCAAAAGTCACGCTTTAGCTTTTGAGGATTCACTACTAAAACACTAAGTTCGATCAGTATTTAAGTTAAGTGCGCATCGACTACGTACTCTTAAATGAAACTGCTTACATTCTTTGTTGTTATCTTATTGTGCCAGACCCTACATTGTTTCTGACAGTTTTTTTATCTGCTTTGTACGATTTCTCTGACGAGTATTGACGAATACCAGATTGTTCTATTTGAACTTCGTATATGATTTAGGCTGGCGGTTTCAAAAAACTGAACATCGAATTTATTGAAAATATCAGATTTAAAATTCTATCTATAAATAGCTTAGCGATTGGAGTCAAGTGGTTTCAGTGTTTATCCCTCAATCTGGTCTGAGTATCATGGAGATGTTAGTCACAGCATCCAAACTTAAATTTCACTCGTCTAGTTTTTCGCAAATGTAATTTAAGATTTAGCTTTTTACATTCTTTTTTGTTACTATCTAGTAAGTCTTAATTTCTAAGGTGAATTTCACAATATTTTCGTTTATTTTCCCTACAGACTTCTCTAATCTGTTTCCGTTTTGAGATATAGCAAAGCTTCAGTTTTCTTGTTTCCCATAAACTCACTTATTTGTTCAAAAAAAATGTACGAGGTCCAGCCACGGCAAGAAGATATTGCTCTCGTTATCGCATGCCACGACGGTAATTTTGAAGAAGTCAAAAGATTGGTAGAGGATGAAGATGCAGATATATGTTACCAGGTTTGTTACAGTCCTTTTTCTATGGTTATCATCCTTAGTAACTTTTGCTTTCATCCGTATCTTCGTTATTTTCCTTCTTCGTATAGTGGTAACGTCGCATTTGATCTGTGAACGTTTGTTTTTAAGTCTTACTCTTTTTAGTACATTTTAAACTGACTAGTGACTGATAATCGTAGTTAAAAGCTTATTAAAACTGGGAAAATATGTACTTTGGCTATTTATTAGCCAAATTCTATTATCCAAAACTAAGTTAAGTGAAAAGTTTAAGTTCATTTAGTTTTATGTGTTGATAAGTGTTACAAATTGAAATTGTTTCCATCAAAAATAGGGGAAAGTTATGTTGTAGACGATGATTCATACACTATATAAATTAAGTGTACTATAATTAGTGTCAAAATACGTCTATGGATTCTGTCACAAACTATCAGTATGATGCCATGGCGTTCATTACACTTGGTTGCCCAAGCCGTTATAGGTGGATAAACTTTTATACTCACAAACGTAATATTGAAAGCTGAGTGCTTTTGCCATGTAGTCGCAATACAACATTTATTGATGTACTATCGTAAATATTTCTGACCGATATTCAACTGTATGGGCGATCATAATGGTTTTAATCTTGGTCACTTTTTAATTTGTTTTATACGAAAGTCGTTTAATTACTTTAATCACCATAGGAAATGATCAGTGCTTCTGAACCCTAAGTAATTTAAAATATTTTAAGATTGTAATGTCACTAGTACAATTAGACACGAAGTACATGACTAGAAAATTGTCTTGTAACTGTAGGAAATAAACAGTGAGGCTTTAAGAATGTCGCTTTTACGAACACTCATAAAATATTGTGACCTTTGGCTTCATTGTAGAGTTAAATTTAGTGAATTTGTTGAGTCACTTTTACTATATGATCAACCAAGGCTAACTAGTAAGGTTGGAAGTGGTGTTATGGAGTCATATTATGGTTATAAATAGTCTATATTTTCTAGGTACCTGTGCCAATGTCGGACTTGACAGTTTCAAATAACTTGAGCTTTGGGTAGAAAATTAGTGATAAGAATATTTTCGTTGTATCCCAATGAGTAGAAAATTTGTATTCTGACGTTTCGTGACTTAATGTAAGCCACTTTTTCAGAGTAAATAAGCAACCGAAATAAATTAACACAAGTTTGAATAGTCTATATTTTACAATTCTTGTGCCTAAAATCACTGTCAACTATATGATGCTAAATGGCTCTTAAGACGACGGCGTCGGCGAAAAAGACATGACTGTTTCATAACGATTTGATGCTTTTAAAAAGCATTCAGATACCAAGATGTGATAATAATTACAACAAATCATGGTACTGAGATCGAACTAAAAATAAATATCCCTAAAGACTGTACTACACTTATTTCCTTACTAAAAGTTTCAGATTTTATACAACCATCGGAAAACTAAAAATTTGTGTGTTCAGACCTGAGTACATAAAAATATACACTTCGGAAATTACAGGCAAGATTACTTAGAACTCGTTTCGACAAGGTACTTAATAATCCCAGTTAAATATACACAGTATTAGGTGTACGCTCTTGAAACACGCAATCTTGTATTACTGTAATATTTGATTGTCCTTCGTTTTCTACACAGGATTTCAAAACTGGAATGAGCGTCTTAATGGTTGCGGCAGGAGCTGGACACACATATATTGTAAACTATTTATTATCAGAAGGTGCCCCCTGGAATGCAGTTGATCGAAGCTATTTATGCGCCGGGGATTATGCCGCTAGAAATAAACAGCAAGATTGTATTGATATCCTGATGAATCATGCAGTTATGTCTGAGTTACTTTTGTGTATGGCAGTAAACAAGTCAGATGCAGGAGAGTCTTTGGAAAATGTTGATTCTATGAATCTTACTACTACTACTGTAAACACACGTGCAAATAATTCTTCGGAAGCTCTTAACGCTTCTTACCTTACTAGCCGATTGGAGTATTCTAATGACAGAAAATGTCTCATTGACACCAATACTCATCTTGCTGTAATGATGGATTGGGAAACTCCAATAATGGAGAAGCATGCAGCATGGGTTTGTCATGCAGACGAAATAGACAGTACTATCAGTTCACCTATTCGAGTTTTAAACATTGGATTTGGTTTGGGGATTGTTGACACGGCTATACAAAAGTATTCACCTGACTCACATTATATAATAGAAGCTCATCCGGAGGTAAGTTTTAATTCAAAAGGCATTCCTCTAGACATAAACATCAGTGAGCCAGATCTTTACTACTGTTCCTTATTCCTATCTTAACTTCTGTCCTTATTTCAGTTGCGAACTTCCTAGTTCATTTAATTATGATTAATTCAGTTGTATTTCGGAACTTTCCTAAAGTACAACAAATAATCTATCTTGAGTGAGATGTCTAGTAGATATCTACAGCATAATCTAAAAACGATAAGTTCATATATTTCCAAACATAATGGCTAAAAACAGTTGAGTGAAATATATCCTTCGGACGGTTCAATTATTCATTATTGTGTAATATAATATTAGATATTTTTCTCAGATCTCAAGTCAACCATTAGAATACTTTGTTTCCAACTGAAATTGACAACTATATTGAAACGTTCTGAGCATTCATTTGCGTTAAAGGTTCTCAACGAGTATCTAAAGTATAGCGCAAGGCTCAGTGAGGCGATGACAAGTGTCGATTTTATAAAGGAGTGCATAGAAATCAACTTGTATCCAAAATTGTACCGATTATCTTTACGTCGCTCTCGAGTTCGACCAAATGGACGCTACGCCTTTAATCAAACTATTAATAAGCATGTATTCTTAAACTGTTTCATAAGAAGACATTCTCAATTTTTCGAACCTTTAGCAGGTCAGTCTTTTAGACTTATAAATGCTTGAGTGATGTTGACTAGATTCGTACCATATTTTCGTGGTTGTTTATGACTGTACAGGTAATGTACATTCATGACTTGATATGTAATGAAACCCATAAACTTGACGTTTTGAAGTAAGTTTAACGCCGTTCATGAAATCGGTCAAATCCAACACCTTGTATTCTCCAATTTCAGTAAATTCACAATATAGCGTAATCACTGTTTGCTTTCATGTAAGAGTATATCCTCAACTCCTACTCAGTTGCCCCCAAATGCCCTGGTACGGCCGAGAGTGTGGAGAGTCCGCTTTCCCTCTCGAAATACTCTCACACAGCCACGCGTATACAACCCCTGCCAGGGAAGTCCTACTCACTGCCTTCTCGTGGTGGGTGTGTTGTTTACGAAATTGAGAGGACGAAAAGCGAATATCCGGCGCTTTAACCGGATCCCAAACCAATGGTGCACATGGGCTCCAGTATCCTGCGGGAACAAATGGCGTATGAACCAATCGTTGGTCACCGGCTACCATGGGAGTGCATCTCCTCACGATGCTCCACTGCCTTGTGGATCAGATCTTCAGGTCAAAGGCTCGGGGTGTGGCCCCCTAAGAAAACCACCTGCTTCGGTTTGGGCACCCGGGCAGTATCACAGCCCTCACACATATCAAATGAGATATGTGTGGCGCATATGTATTTGGTTCCTTCTTGTACCTACTCAGTTAATTTCATGTCGAAACTAATCACTAATGAGCTGTGGATTATTACTTAGCCTAGTATTTCTTTGAAAGGGGAAAAGCAAGATTCTCCGATACAACACAGCATGCACCAATCGAATCACGACGGAGAAGCTTTGGAAGATGTAGGAACCTTTACATATCTGGGCATCATCATTGATGAACACGGTGGATCTGATGCAGATGTGAAGGCACAGATCGGAAAAGCAAGAACAGCATATCTACAACTGAAGAACATCTAGAACTCAAAACAACTGTCAACCAACACGAAAGTCAAGATTTTCAATACAAATGTCAAAACAGTTCTACTGTATGGGACGGAAACCTGGAGAACTACGAAAGTCATCATCCAGAAGATACAAGTGTTTATTAACAGCTGTCTACGCAAAATACTTTGGATCTGTTGACCAGACACTATCAGCAACAACCTACTGTGGGAGAGAACAAACCAGATACCAGTGGAGGAAGAAATCAGGAAGAAGCGCTGGAAGTGGATAAGACACACATTGAGGAAAGCACCCCATTGTGTCACAAGGCAAGCCCCACTTGGGATTCTCAAGGCCAAAGAACACATTACGCCGGGAAATGGAGACGGACATGAGAAGAATCAACAACAATTGGATAGAAATGGAAAGGAAGGTCCAGGACAGAGTGTGTTGGAGAATGCTGTTCGGCAACCTATGTTCCATTGGGAGTAACAGGCGTAGGTAAGTAATGTTTTTTGAAGATTAGTTTATATAAACGATAGTCTTTATTGCGTGCTAACATCAAATAGAGTATCATACAAAACCAGAAAGCACTAAACAGTGTCATTCCGCAAATGGACTGAAGTTTAAAATGTTAACCTTCAGGTTCCGATTTACTGAATGTTATCATGCTCCTTATGAGACTCTTCAATTTCACTTCAAAGGAGCAGCAATCCTTGTAGTCTATAAAGTTAAGTTCTTTTTGGCACAAACATGATATTCATCTTTGTTATTCAGGTATATCACTTGGTATTTTGATAACATTTTATATAATTCTTTGATCATGAACCACTTTATTCAAGTTACTTGAGAGCTTAGGTACAATTGCTTAAGATTTGAAGACAAAAATCGCTTGTAACTAAACGTAGATTGGACAACCACCGGCTTCTATTTTGGTCTACGTCTGATAACATCTCAAGCTGATGAGTCGCGCCATCTCTAGGACACTAACCAGATGTCCAGATGACCACCTCATTTTCTATCCAGTGTCGACATCTAATACCCCGTATGAAATTCCTTGGAATAATATTCGTAACGCATGATCAAGTCACTAAAGCTATTGAATGCTAACAGTTCTTCGGAGATAATGATGATCAAAAACAGAGTCGCTGCCCATCCCCAACTCGGAGACCAGGTTTCATTAAAAATGAGCAAAACTGCTCTCACCGACGTTGCAAACCGGACCTTTTACAGCTAGATTAATATCGTGACTATCCCAAGGATGAACACAATTGTCAAGTCGCTATGATTTTCACCATATGTGAACAGATCTTACCCGTCATGCCATTACGGGCACTCATGATCGCCCAGATTCATGAACTTTCCAACTACTTCGAACGGCTTACCGCAACGAGTGGATGTCAGCACATGCTCCCACCACCCTTGGTTAACTACTTTCATTTGAAAGATAGAATGTTCATACCATTCTTACAGACGCAAATACCCAACTGATGAAGTACGATTCGCACAGATTGTGTATCATCACAAAGCAAGACAATTTTATCCGTATACTCCAAATCGAAGAGGCCTTTTCCTACATCACTACCATCGGAACTGTTTCCAGAATGTTATCGATAGTAGAGTTAAAGGACAATAGCGAGATTTTCCAACCCTATCAGACGTCACTGCTGAATCAAAATCGAGCATAGAGGTGATCGTATACCGTCACTGTGTCTGTAGTATTTGTATATTGGGCCTTCAAGGCATTAATTAGCTTCCCAGGCACACCCTTCTACACCAGACAATCCCAGAGTACATTCCTGTCCAATGGATTAAACTCAACCGTAATATCAAGAAACACAACGATTGTGAGCCTTCAATAAGTATAGCAATGCTCTAAAATTTAACGGAGAGTAAAGACATAATCGATACATCCACGATGTGACCGAACATCAGCCTGTTCCTCCCGAGTCAGTCTCATTAATTTCACACAGCCGAATTACTCTCAAAGCATTTTGTAACCGAGTCTCAGTCCTCATCTTTAACTGAAAACCTAATATGAATATGTAGTGGTTTAAGCTACCAATTTTTCCAAATAATAGAATAATTCAAGTAAACGAAAAATATAATGTTTATAACAAATAGTCAACTTCCGTGGGGCAGATAGTACTGTAGTCTGCCCCCTGATAAATTATCATCCCCTATATTCTTTGTGTTTACAGTAACTCATGAATTTTTATGGAATTTCGTCTAACCATATTCCGTACCAAAAGTTTTCCTACGACTTGATCACATTGCTAGTTGGGGTAGGCAGCTAGTCAAACTACATTGGGTATTTTAATAACGATCGTTTATGCTGGGAACTTTATTTATTAAGTTATCTGTACCAAAACCAAACCTTGTTCATAACGTAAAGAATGTCTCCCAAAACAGTCATTATGTTAATTAACCGTTACCAGCGCATGTTTGTGTGTAAAAAGTCGTCCCTTACTCTTAAAATGTACATAACTGGCCGTAATATTTTCCTTGTTTTAAGATGCATAAAACATCCAAATAATCGAGATATATCACTTCAAGTGCATTAATGGGACGTCATTTGAAGTATCATTAACTAGCGAAAACGTAGCAGTTGCTTTTCTATGCTAAGTAGCCTCATCAGAAAGATTGGATTCGTGTTCGGTCAGTCAGCCACAACGTAGGTCCAGGCACATATGTGCATCGGTCCAAGTTGCCATACCTCATTAACACAACAAGACAGCAGATTCATAGAAGTAGTTAATTCAGTGGTGGTAATATATAAAAGAAAAATTGCATAGAAGGACATAGTACAGGATGAAAGGATAAGTTCGTAGAAAGAAAGATATGAAACGATTTTAATCTCATGGTTTAAAGGAAGACAAGGAGTGTATACACCCACACCATTGTGATCGATACTGAGTCATGTCACCCCCGAGTCTCCAACCATTGGTTACGATAGTCACGTGGACCCCAACCGAGTAGTCTACCAACATGGCTCAGACCAGAAGTCAGTGACTTCAAGCACTGATGCCGCGATTTGGTTTGTCCCCTCTTAACTCTCTTCCGACCATCCCCTACGCTAATCAGCTTTGCGCATCGTGGTAATCGGTGTTCAGACATATGCAACACATGGCCCAATCAACTCAGTCGATCAAGATTCACAACCTCATCAACTGATTTACCATCATTTCCTAATACCCTGCATCTAACCTCACTATTATTTACCCGGTGATTCCAGCAGATGCGAGCAATATTTCTAAGACATCTGTGATCAAATACTAGTGCCTTACGAATATCTTCTACTCTTAATGGCCACGTTTCGCAGCCGTAAATTAAAGCGGAACGAACTGCCGTGCAGTATAATCGTCCCTTAATTGAAAAATCGATATCTCGCCTTCGCCATAGGTGACGTAAGTTGGCAAAAGCCAAACGAGCTTTTCGAATCTGTGGTGAGATTTCGTCAGACACCAACCTATTGTGACCGATCGGACTTCCGAGATGAGTGAAGTTGTCAACTCATTGGACTACTTCACTCCCTATCCTTAGTTCAGGTGTTGACGCAGACCAGTCCTGAACCAACAACTCGCATTTAGAGGAGGAGAAACACATCCCGAACATCCTCGCATTGTTGCTTGGTGTTACTAGAGCATTAAGATGAAAAATCATGGGCACCATTAATCATATTGGTTTTGATGCAAGATTATTTCAAAGTATATTACAACTGTGAGTATAAACAAATAAATGCCACTACTAACGTAGTACTAATTGTAGGTGTTGGAGAAAATGAAGTCCGAAGAATGGTTTGCTAAGCCAGGCGTCAGGATAATCCCAAGTAAATGGCAAGATGCGGTCGTCTCACTAGCCAAAGAAATTGATGACGGTGCAATTCCAAGGTTTAGTGGAATATTTTTTGACACATATGCAGAGGATGATAATGATCTGAGAGAATTCCATACGTGGTTACCCAAACTTCTTTCTATCCCTAATCAAGAAAGTGTGGGGGGTCTATCTTTCTCAGGAAGGTATTCTTATTATAACGGTTTGTGTCCCGACAATGTATTTTTTCACGGAGTCGCATGCGAAACTATGAGGTTGCATTTAAAAAGGTAATTTGCATTCTCAATGTTTAATTGGATGGTATAGATTCAATTTATTAATATATAGACATACTTCTCTTTTCATTGGCAAATCTCTCATGGCAGTAAGCAAAGGAAAAGTTGGTCGAGCTCTTTTAAAACCCTTTGTATAAAGATTTAATAAAATGGTCTTAAGGTTATTCAGTGAAAATTTAGTAATGGAATTATTGTCCAAATTACTGTTTAAAATCTTAAACAAAGCCTAATGAAATTACTACTAATAATTTGCAATATTTCCCTGATAAACCGAATCGAGGTATTTACAGATTAGCTACACAATTGATATACCGGATGAACTTAAATATCTTTCCGCGGTATACTACGCTACTGAAATAGCGCGGTAATAAGACTGGTGATCGTATGATCAAGTTTACATCGCCTCTAGATTGGATACTCAAAAGATCTGCTATACACGAACTAGACCACGTTTTATCAGATATATGACTCGTAACCAAAAATAAAGGATCAGAGTAACGGAAAATAATACTTTATTCCTGATGGTTACAATAAGTCACTCAGTGGACCCAGAGTAGAAATCAATAAGAGAAAAAGGAATTACATATTTAGTAGTAAACTGCTCCTTAAAATAGCATTTGGATCTATGTTAAAAGTAAAATTACAGAAGTTTCTGCAATACACAAGTGACTTAATTGCATCCGATCCAAGTAGATTAGATAATTTTGATCAGTCATTGAGATATAGGAGTAAAATGATCAGAAATGAGGGTTAATATCTTCAAAAATGCGACTTGACATGCTTACGTTATATGACATTGCGTGTAAGTAACAAAGGTTTGTGGGTTGTCAAAAATCAGTGGCTTTTAAAGATTGTGAAAAATGTTCTGTAGTCACTACGTTTCACTGACTGCTGTTAGGCACTTGCAAAAACCTAAGATAATGTTTTTGTGGGTCAGATGAACAGTTTAGAAATCAATTTGACTTCTCATCTTATTTACGAAATGTTGGATGGTCACTTATAATATCCATACTAATTTGAAAATAGCATGGATCCACGATTTTTCAATCTCCCTCAGACATTGCACATACTATATCTTTCATTCCCTGTTGTCGCTTTTCCCTATTTATCGTCCACTATTATTGGTACTGTTTTCGGTTTTTTCTTGCTCATTTGATGTAAACTAGTCATAGTTGTATCTCTGTTTCTTATACGTCCGTTATATGTAAATCCGAACATCTCTGGTTCACGATAGCTGGAATTTTAATACAATACATTTTTCTTATCTAGGTTGGGAATAAGTTGTATATTTGACCCAGTTGCTGTTGATGTTGCAGACCAAGAGCTATGGAAGGATGTTTCTCAAAGATATTGGTATTTTGATACATATTTCTTGCCAAAGTGTACTTTTGATCATGATGAAAAGAACTAATAAAGTTTATTCCGTCAAAAAATGTTTTGTTTGTTGGGGTTTCACAACAGTATTATGCTTTATCGAAGCGCTGATATTTTCGTATACTATTTTGTTGTTACCAATGTATGCACGTGCTTAAACAAGTAAATTTCGATTCAATGATTAGTAAGCTCATGGTGTTTATCATTATATTTCGCTTGATATGTGCATAGAAAATTAGTTAGCCGATTAAAATATTGCTTGGTAGTGACTTTTTATTTGTCCGTGTGTGTAGACACTAGCGATACTAGTTGATAGGGCCAAACCGAAAATAAGTGTGGGTGTGTATATTTGCTAAACCCAATGATTTAAAGTCAACCGCTTTAACTACTACTAACCCGATAAACATACCGCACAATTTACTTTTTTTTGTAAAAATCAACTTGAATAGTATTTCAGTAGTTTTAAGTATTTGCTTTGCAATTATCGAATTAAGGATTCACACTTGTGGTACTGTTTTCGGTTTGATTAGCCATATGAAAATGATAAACCCTATGTATTTTCATCATTTGCACAAGGTATATGTATTATTTATTTATTTATTTGAACACATAAATATTGGTACAGAGGGGCACCAAATATATATGCGCCACACAAAACAATGATAATTTGAAGAGAAGGAGAAAAGAGAAAAAAAAAAGTAATGAACGTGGGGAATTATAAAAAAAAGAGAGAGAGAACAATGGTGGGGGAAACGGAAAGGTACAATCAGAAGAGATCTTTCAGTTAAGGAAGATATAAACACTTTTTATGAAGAAAGTAAGAGGTTACAGCACGATCGCCACTGGCTTCTATTCTTAGCCATATCTGATAACGTCTCTAGCCACTGCGTTACACCGTCTCTCGGACCCCAACCAGGGAGTCGTGAAGGACCAACACAAGCTAGCCCTTTGCAGCTTTCTTTCATACCACGACACCATGTCATATACTGACCACCTCTCCGCCTTTTCCAACGAGTCCCAGAGACGGCAAATAATGCACGACGTGGAATTCTCTGGGACGACATTCGTAGAACATGTACAAGCCACCGAAGTCGGTGTTTCAAGATGGTGACACCAATTTCATTATCGTCTCTGTGACCGAACACTCGATGCCGAACCTCTGCATTACTGACATGGTGTTGCCACTGGATACCAGCAATCCTTCGGAGACAACGATGATCACACACAGAGAGAAGTCTAACATCCTCAACTCGGAGAGGCCAGGTTTCACAAGCATAGAGCAAAACTGCTCTCACCGTCGCGTTGTAGATCCGACCTTTTACAGCCAGACTAACATCACGAAGGCGCCAAAGGTGGCCCAGATTGGCATAAGCCGCTCTGGCTTTCACTATACGAGCATTGATCTCATCACTCACACCACCACCAGCACTTATGCAGCTACCTAGATACACGAACTTCTCGACTACTTCAATCTGCTCACCATCCAGAGTGAGTACAGGATTAGAATCCTGCCAGTCTTGTAGAAGTACTTTGCACTTCGAAGGTGCAAAGCACATACCATACCTACGGACACTGATTGCCAACTGATTAAGTGCGGATTGCATAGCTTGGGCATTCTCGCACAGTAAGACAATATCATCCGCATACTCAAGGTCGAGAAGTCTTTCTCCAGGCAACAGATCCACACCACCATTACTTACATCCGTCAGAGCTGTTTCCAGAATGTCATCGATGGCAAAGTTGAAGAGGAATGGTGAGATTGGGCAACCCTGTCAACTCGATTGCTCGAATAGAATAGTGGAGAAAGGTGGTTGTATGCCCTCACTCTGCCTGAGGTGTTTGTGTATAGGGCTTTTAGGATGTTAATAAACTTCTCAGGCACACCCTTCTTCAATAGACAATCCCAGAGAACAGTTCTGTCCAACGAATCGAAGGCAGCCCTGATATCAAGAAACACTACGATTGTTGGCCTTTGATAAGTATGGCGGTGTTCTAACACTTGGCGGAGGGTGAAGATATGATCAATACATCCTCGACCAGAACGAAACCCAGCCTGCTCCTCGCGAGTCAATCCTTCTCGGGTCCTGAACAACCTACGAAGTATGACGGAAGCCAATAGCTTGGACGCAATCGGAAGTAGACTTATCCCCCGATAGTTGTTACAGGAACAACGTGAACCCTTTTTAAAGATAGGGACAACTATCGACTCATTCCATGACGTTGGTACACTCTCTAGTTCCCAGATCTTTGTAAACAACGTCGTCAGTCCCTTAGTCAAAAAGTCACCACCATCTTTAAAAAGAGCCGGAGGTAAGTCGTCTGGGCCCGGTGATTTGTAACGTTTCAAGAGTTGGAGTTCCTTGCGGACTTCCGCCTCATTTGGTGGATCAGTCGTCACCGGCCATGGAGGGCAGGACAGTCTGACCGATGTTGCCGGAGCAGCAGGCCAGTTGAACTGCCCTTCAAAGAATTCTGCCCATCGTCCAAGACGTCGATGAACAATTTGCTTATGGAAAATATTCCTTTCTATCAGGTATATGTATATTGTAGTTTATAAAATTTGTTCCCATTAATGAGTATTGAGTTATAAAAGAAATAGCTTAAAAATACTACACATTGGAACTGAGAAAGTGTAGTTGAATATGAAAGATTTTTGTGTGCTTAAATAAGTTACAAAGTAATTGGGACGTTGCTTAGCATTATTTGCAAATCCCTACTCAATTGTCACAGGTTTACTAATGTAATAGTTACTTCAATTCTTAATTATCTGATAATACGAAGACCGATTGATAGCAAGGTAATTGTTTTATAATCTATTCACACTATTCCAATTTAACTAAGTCGAGTGTATGTGTTTGGGGGGCATAAATACACTCGTTTCCATATACTCTCATATGCCCACGCGTATATACTTACTGCCCCGACCGTAGCTGCTACCTTGACGTGGTGGTCGGGCTTGCCTATCGTGATGACCCAACCGAGCTATATTGGCTGGAACACATGTTCCTGCAGGTTCTACCATGCCAGGCAGGTCGATTGGAGAACGATAAGACTAAAAGCAGCAATTCAAGGTCTGAGAGCGAAGTCGTACTGCTGACTGTACAGAGGTGTGACAACAGTAAGGTGTTTCCCTCGGACAACCACAAGGAAGGAACGGGTTAGAAAATGTTGACCCTAAAAATGTCACACATCACCTTACCCAACGGATTTCCGTCTCCGGTGGTAAGGCCGTTTGAAGAGGAGCTAACACATTAAAAACCTCCCACAAAAAGACCGTGCGCGACCGGCCTCAAGCAGTTGTCCCTTGGGCTCTGCGGTCACGCACCCAGGTCGTTAAGACCAACGCTAATCCGATTTTCTTTTCAGGTTCCTCAAGAAATACCCTTCCACGGTGTGGGCAGCCGGGAAGTGACACCAGTTCTCATACCCGTAACAGCACACGAGACCAAGTTGGTCACATTCAAATCCTTCCTACACCTCTTAATGACTCTCTTATCTCCACGACTAACCCTTCTTACGTCCCTTTATCACCTCGCCCCACTAGTGCAAACGATTCGAATACGCGGAACGTTATTCCTGGTCTCCTGAAACCACGTTCTAAACTACACATAGGAGCTTCCGACGTCCAAACACTGTGCCAAATAGGACAACAGGCTTCCTTAGCTAGGATCTCGCTCCATCGACGTGTGCTGTGTCTCCAAAACGCACACACAGGATCCGAGTAGTGTCCTTCATTTGACCTCATCATGTCAAAGTAACGAACCAACTGGATTTACGCTTCGTGTATCTGGAAGCCCTGATGCTGCTTCCCGTGGCCTCGCTGGCGTAGATATAGCATTGAGTCCTAGGGCAGAACTAGCTCTCTTAACTGGATCGTTTGTGAGCTGTCCGACTAAACGGAACAGTAAGGACTCGGAAAGATAGGGACACTTTTCATTGCCTCTGCCTACTCTCCCACTAACTGCAGCTCAGATAATGTAAAAGATGAGTTTTACAGAAAGCTTTCCGACCTTCTTCGAAAAGCTAGGCGCTCTGATGTAGTAATAGTGGCTGGTGACTTGAGTGCTCAAGTAGGTAAACTAAGCGAAAGACACTTGGGTGGATCTTATGGTGTCACGGTTTAAAGAACAGATAATTGCGACCGTCTGTTGCAGCTATGCTCAGATAACCGCCTGTTTCTTGCAAATACTAACTTTAAGCATAAGGAAAAACATCTTTTGACATGGAGACCCTCTAATTCGTACCAACGTTGGACCCCAATAGATCACATCGCTATCACCCACCGATGGAGGGGCTCGATGGAAGACTGTCGCTCATTCTGGAGAACATGCTTAGACTCAGATCATGCTCTAGTGCGAGCGTGTATTTGTCTACGACTTACTGGACTTGGGAAAGATGGTGCAAGGAAACCCCTTGGGGCCCTACCTAATGATAGTCAAGCTAAGAGTATATTTCAGGAACAACTAGAGAAAGTTAGACAGCCATGTAAGTGTTGCCCACCCCGAGGCAGCGTGGGATGACATCCGAAAAGCTGCAGAAACAGCAGTGATGTCTGCACTACGGTAAACCATAAGGTTAGGGAGAAACACTGGATCTCAGCAGCGTCTACCGCGCTGATAGATGCTCGAAAACTCATTCCATCTGGCTCTGAACATGACGAAGAGCGGAGTCAGCTTAAGCGTAAGCTGACTAGAAGCCTACGCAATGATCGTGAACAGTGGTGGGTAGCGAAAGCGAGATGGAAAAGGCAGCGGCAATGGGTAACAGCAGACTACTGTTCGGACTTGTCAAGGGAACCGGTATTGGGAACCCAACTGTTAGCGAAACTATCTCCGAAAAAGATGGACATATTATTCATTCTCAATCCAGGAGATTGGATCGATGGGCAGAACACTTTAGGGATCAGTTCAACTGGCCTTCAGCCACACTTCGGTTTCCCACGATCTCCAGTCGACCTGCATGGCAAGTCGATGTACGTCCTCCAACTCTTTACGAAGTTGAAAAAGCTACAGGGAATCTCAAGCGTGGGAGAGCAACAGGCCATGACAGGTTTACCCCT